TCGTCGGTCTCGTTGCACTTTTTGTCATCGTGGCACTTTCACCACTACGAGTTGCATATCTGTTTGCATAAGCACGCGAGAACAATTATATCTCGTGTCACTTCCGCGACATCGGGATGAATCATAATTTGATCTATCGGTGACAAAAGAGAATTATCGAGGAATATGTTTCTATCGATGCACTTTTTGCAAAAATTTGAAGAACGTTTCGAATTTCACGTTTGAAGATATTGCCTTGCTCATCGGTGAATCACTTTGTTTTTCTCAAACAGGGTTTCGTCGCGTTCCACGAAATGCAAGTAGCACGCCAATCACTGACTCGTATCACTTAGTTCAATTCACAGATTTTAAATTCTATATTTTTATTCAGAGAGCTAACATGGACTAGTTAATTCTATCAATATCAGTTATTAGTTTCTCAATTCCCAAGAAAGTTCCGCAGTGCACTTATACAAATTAATAATTTGGCCGTATCGGACGGCTGGTTTTTTTTTTTTTTTTTTTTTTGTGAATGGGACCGTGAGAGAAGTACGAAACCCACTGCGCTCTTGTACCCGCGTGTAATAACCGTGATCCGACGAATCCAGCGGTTCTCATAGCGGAAGGTACGAGCTGGTTTCCGGAAGTACGACGACCTCCGTACCGACGACGGCTGGCTGGGCGAGAGGAGCAAAGGGTCCACCTCCATCTCTGATCACGAACATTAGAAATTAGCGGCACGAAGCTCGCAGGCAAAACTTATCCGCGATTATAAGCGCGAGAATGCGCGTTGTGGGAAATCGCGCGAGATCGAGCAAAGCGTCGAGATGTTGCTGTCGTTGTTACTCATGCGTGTCCCCCGTTAATCGCGCCTTACGTTCGATCGTGACTCGATTTAGCGGGATCTAGTTCGTCAAATAGCGCAGATGATTCTTTCGTCAAGTTTCATCTGATGATGGTTGATTAATATCATGCGTCCCGTTACTTTTTCTCCGTCCATGAATTCCTCTCGATATATAGGAAAAAAAACTGTAGATTTTTTTTATGCATATGTGTGTGTGTGTGTGTAAAAAATTCCGTAATACAAATACGAAATTAAGAAAAAAGTTGAGGGTATAAATTTCCGGAATCGCAGATCGTCGAGATCTTGGAAATGACGCCGGCTTCAAACTCAAAGTTTCGGTTTAATTAATTTTTCTGTCCCTACTGAATCGCGCGAGAATAATGACTAGCAGGATGCTTACTTCGCGTACTTACACCTGGTCAATTTATCTGTTTCTGCGCGACGATGATGTTCCCGAGAGAACAGCGAGGAATACCGAGGAACTCGTTGCAGGACATCCTTATCACTATGCAAATCTTTATCCTTCGCACGAGGTGTTTCTACGAATGCTTTCTTTGGAAAATAAATCTCTCACGCGATACGTCGCAATCTGCGCACGGGAGTTTCGTATATCTTAAAAGGACTGTCGCATGTACGTATGCATAAATATGTAGAAAAATATACGCGTACGTGCAGTTAGATAAATGTACTTATACACATCTGCAGAAAATATTGGCCCTGCGTGCT